ACCTTTACAAGCAAGAGAACTGATTGATACTGTTTTAGTTAAAGGAAATGCTGCAGCCAACATCTTTAAAAGCTGTCTAAAAGAAATTGATTCTACATTATATAAGAACTTATTTGGTGAGTTTTTTTAGTAAAATTATTTTAGAAATACTTGGGATTATGTTCATTTTTGTATTTACAACAAAATTAATTTAATTAGCAAACTATAGTCTATTATTTAACATGTTCTAAAAAACTGAAGTTTTTTATTGCCCAAGTAGTATGGCTAAATATTTTCTGATAATATATTTACCTAGAATCTCCGTTCAATAGATACTAGGTAAAACAGATAGGTAGTAGGTTAAGCAGTGTTGTATTTGATGGTAATGCTTTTTTTATGTTTTTTCTTTCTATAGTGGAAAAAAATATGAAGTATATTCCAACAGAAGATGTTTCAGGTAAAACAAAATTAAGACAAGACCAACAAGAATCATTACTCATATTATTTTTTTAATGGGAGCTAAATTAGAAATTCAGTTTCACTAAAGATTTTTGTTGTTACTAGGTCTGTCACTGGAAGAACAATTGAGGAGGTTGCAGGAAGAAAGAACGTGTAAAGTGTGTATGGACAAAGAAGTTTCTATTGTATTTATTCCTTGTGGTCATCTGGTAGTATGCCAGGAATGTGCCCCTTCTCTAAGAAAATGCCCTATTTGCAGGGGTATAATTAAGGGCACTGTTCGTACATTTCTCTCATAAAAGAAAAGTAGGCTATTTGTTAGTCTGTATGTACAAGTCTTTAAAATATTGTTGAACATTTTTGAAGCAATCTGAAGTAAAAAAGGAATATAGATTCTTTAGTCAGTAATATTTGTGTTCTCCCCTGCTTTGTTACTAGCAATGTTGTTTGAAAAAAATATAGTATCATATATCATATTTAATCTTAATCTCTGTTATATCAAATGGAAGATTTATGTTTGGTGGGCTTTATTACTGTACATGTGTCAACATAGAAATTAAAGGCACTCAGTGCTCTTATGTATCATTTCAGGGGTGACTGAATTTGGTATTTCTGAAAGCTTTGAATATTGAGTACTACATTAGAGTGTAGTTTAAAAGAACTGGAAACCAGGAACACTGATTTATGAAAGTTAATGGTGGCAGATTCTCTTTGGTGTTTTTCACTTGTGTTGTAAAATAAGAATTATTTCTTTTACTGGTAAATAAGCTTTTCAGTAGTTTGTGAGAAACATCTTAGTGAAGTTCTTTAAAAAGCGTACATTACCAAACATTTTTTCCCTTAAAAAATAATTTTCATATGTCTTCAAAGGGTTATAAGGATTGAATGAAATAATATACATAAGCATTGTCCCTGTCACATCGTAAACACTCATATGCTAACTTAGATAGCATTTAGATAAATTAGATAAAATTGAACTCATGAAACAAATTACTAAGAAATTTTTAAATAGTGATGTGATTAATGAATATTCCTTTAGATAACATTATTTGTCTAGTTACTTTGTATATTACGGATTTAATTTGAAATAAAAATTTATATCAAAAATTCTTTTACTTTTTAAAAAAATTATATTTTATTGATTATGCTATTACAGTTGTCCTGATTTTTCCCCCTTTGCCCTCTGCCAACCAGCAGCCCCCATTTCCTCACACCCCGCTCCCATCTGGCAACCATCAAAAACACTCTGTATCCATGGTTCTGACTCTCTGCTTGAGTTTTCTTTTTTTAGATTCAGTTGTTGATAGATGCATATTTTTGCCATTTTATTCTTCATAGTTTTGATCTTCTTTTTCTTAAATAAGTCCCTTTAACATTCCATATAATAATGGTTTGTTGATGATGAACTCCTTTAGTTTCTTTTTTTCTGGGGAGCTCTTTATTTGCCCTTTGATTTTAAATGATAGCTTTGCTGGGTAGAGCAATCTTGGAGGCAGCTTCCTGCTTTTCATGACTGAATATTTCTTGCCAGTCCCTTCTAGCCTGCAAATTTCTTTTGAGAAATTAACTGGTAGTCTTATGGGAACTCCCCTGTAGGAACTAACAGCTTTTCTCTTGCTGCTTTTGAGATTTTCTCTTTAACTGTTGGCATTTTAATTATGATTTATCCTGGAGTAGACCTCTTTGCATCCATCCTCTTTGGGACTCTCTCTGCTTGTTGGACTTGCATGTCTATTTCCTTCATCAAATTAGGAAAGTTTTTTTTTATTTTTCAAATAGATGTCCAAATGCTCTTTCTCTTCTCCTGGCACCCCCATGATGCAGATGTTGGACCTCTTGAAGTTGTCCCAAAGACCGCTTACACTGTCTGCATTTTTTTATTCTTTTTTTTTTCTTATTGTTGTGATTGGTTGTTTTTTCTTCCTTATGTTCTAAATCATTGACTTGGTTCTTGGCTTCATCCACTCTGCTGTTGTTTCTCTATAAATTGTTTGTTACTTCAATTAGTGTATCCTTCGTTTCTGACTGGATCTTTTTTATGCTCCTGAGGTCCTAAGTTCCTTGAGTGTCCTTATAACCAATGTTTTGAATTCTGCATCTGATAGATTGCTTACCTCCATTCTGTTTAGTTCTTTTTCTGGAGTTTTGATCTGTTCTTTCATTTGGTCTATGTTTGTCTCCTCATTTTGGCAGCCACCCTGTGTTTGTTTCTATGAATTAGAGCTGCTTTGTATTAGAGCTGCTTTGACTCTTTCTTGGTAGTGTGGCCTAATATAGTAGGTGTCCTGTAGGGTCCAGTGGCACAGCCTCCCCTATCATTCCAAGTTGGGTACTCAAAAGTACAGTTTGTGTGGGCTGAGTACACCCTCCCCTTGTAGTTGAGCCTTGGTTGCTGTTGGCAGATCAATGGGAGGGATTTACTGAGGCCAGTCAGCTACCTGGAGTGGCTGTGACCACTGACCACCAACCTCTGCTCTCTGTAGTGGATAAGCTGTGTAGGAGCAGGGTGGTGGTACGTGAATGTGGTCTGTAACTGTCCACTGGGTGTGCTGGCCCTGGGGTTTCCCAGGTGGTGCAGGTCAAAGCCAGCCCCCACCTGTGTTTTGCCCAGTGCCACCTGCTTGAGCTGTAAAGCAATCTGAGATGGCTGCTATTTGTGCTGGGCTTGGAGATCCCCAAGCCAAGGCAATCTGCGAATCTAGGCTGCCTGCTGGCTGTTAGTGCTGGGCCTGGGCCTCACTGAGGCCAGCTTTTGCTTGTATAAGAGGATTTAGGAAACTGTAGTCTGAGCCAAGACCAGACATTCACATGGAAAAGCAGATTGGGTGAGTCTATAAGTTGGGTAGGGCACAGTCTCTGGGGATCTCCAAGGTGGATTAATCAGTGTTAACCCAGTTGATGGAGACTCAGATATGGCACCAGATTGCTGGCTCTTTGGCTCTTTTGGGGGAAGGATTTAGAAAAAGGGCAATGGCTTCTGGTTGCCTTGATGACAGACACTTAAGTTTCTCCCAAAATGTCACTGGTACCTTTCAAGCTGCTATCCTGCTGCTGGAGCTCAGAGGCAGTGAGTCTGAGTAGGCAAGTCTGTGTGTAGGTTCTTTAAGAGGAACTGCTTGGGGCTCCAGAAGTTTCTTCCACTGACTCAGTCCCTGCTGATTTTTGCAGCCAGAAGTTGTGAGGACTTATCTTCCTGGCCCTGGAACCCTGGCTGGGTGCCTGGTATCGGGCTGGGACTCCACTCCTGAGACATCCTCCCGAATTTTTATTCACCACACATGGCTGTGGGACCTGCCCATTCTGCATCTGTGCCCCTCCAGCCAGTCTGGGTGAACGTTGTCTCCTTAATTGCGTAGCTGTCAGACTTCCATTCAACTTGATTTCTGACAGTTCTGAATGATGGTTATTCTATATTTTTGTTGTAATTTTGATGTGGTTGTGTGAAGAGGCAAGCCATGTCTGTCTCTGCCACCATCCTGACTAGCATAGAATTAAAAATATTCTTAAAAGTAGATACTCAATGGATTTTTAAAAAATGGTTTTACCACTTTGTTACATAGGTGTTGGTGGGATGAGGAGATGGGATACAGGCAGTGGTACCTATCTCCTTTTGGAACCCAGTCATGTTTGGCCTTTCCCAGATTTGGGTATGGCAGACTTCTGAGGCCAAGTGGAAAGAGGTCTGATATTAAAAACTCCATTTTTCTTACTGCCCTACAACGCCTTTAGATTCCTTTAAATAGAGAATACACTAGGAAGAGTGAAAATTGATCCTTCAATTTCCTCTCTCGCCTTTTCTCCATCTCGATAGTGCTGATTATGTAAGTCCAAATGCCTACATCTTAGGTGCAAGACCTCATGTCAGTGAGGAAATTTCTTCTCTGTCAAGAAAGTATCCAGCCATGTACTTGAAAAATAGAGACATTTATTGAAGATACAAGAAATATTGTACATGGGACAATGATGCCTGTCCCTTCAGAGTAGGTACCTTGGGATCTCACACAGCACTCCCAATCACCATCAGCTGCCCTGATACATTTTCCTGAATCTCAATGATAGTCTGAAATCTCTTCCTTTCCAAAGATGATTTTAGTTTTGGGAAAAGCCCGAAGTCTCAGGGTGTTGAATCTGGGCTATAGTTGGACTGAGTCACCTGGGTGATTTGATGATTCCCCCAAAAAACTGCATGAGACATGATGTATGAGCAGGCATGTTGTGATGAAGCTGCAAATACCAGTTGCCCATAGCTGTGGCATTCAGCATCATCCAAATAGCTTCTGTGGAAGAATGTTTAAGCTTAATCCAAAGCAAGGCAAATTTGTTGCTCTGTTCACTCAGTCATTTTGAATGTGACGGCCACATAGTACACATGCTCACTCAATGGTGTCTACCGCACCCACTGACTAGTACAGCGAAGTCATCGTTGTCCACTCATGTACATTCTAGTCCACTCTCCTTGGTTGTCAGGTTACATCAATACTGCACAAACCCTTCTTGTTACATTAATGTTCGGACTTTTTCTGGACAGATCTTGTATACAGAGGAAATTCTTCTAGAATCGTGTGCTTGCTTTGGCAGCACATATACTAAAATTGGAATGAAACAGAAGATTAGCATGGCTCCTATGCAGGGATGACATGCAAATTTGTGATGCATTCCATATTTTCAAGAAAAAGAGGAACACAGGTACAAAGGGAAAAAAATGAATAAGTACCTATCAATAATAACTTTAAATGTAAATGGATTAAATGCCCCAGTCAGAAGACAGGATAGCTGAATGGGTAAGAAAACATGATCCACCATATGCTGCCTACAAGAGACCCACCTCAGAACAAAGGACCTACACAGATTGAAAGGGATGAAAAAAATATACCAAGCAAATGGACAGGAAAAAAAAAAAAGTAGCAATACTTATATCAGACAAAACAGATTTATAAACAAAGGCCATAAAAAGAGACCCAGAAGGACACTTCATAATACTGAAAGGAAGAATCCATCAAGAAGACAAACCTTGTAAATCAAATGCACCCAACATAGGAGCACCCAAATTTATAAGGAAAACTTTGGAGGACTTCAAGAAAGATATAGACAGCAACACATTAATAGTAGGGGATTTTAACAGCCTGCTGTCAAAAATGGTTAGACCTTCCAAGTGAATCATTAACAAGGATAAAAAAATAAATTCTTTTAGAAACTTCTCTAATTTTTCTTTTTGCTTAATAATAGCTACCATATATTGAGGATCCACTGTGTGCCAGGTACAGTGCTAGATTCTTTAAACAATATATGTTATGGGCTAGATTGTGCACACACAAAATTTGTATGTTGGAGCCCTAATCCCTAGTACCTTAGAATGAGACTTTTGGACATAGGATCTTTAAAGAGACAGAGTAAAATAAAATTATATGAGCCCTAATCCAATATAAGTGAGATTAGGACACAGACACAGTCAGGGTGAGAAGCCCATGTGAAGATAACCAGAAGAAGATAGCTATCAACAAGCTAAGGTGAGAAGCTTGAGAAGAAACCAGATCTTCCAACATCACGATCTTCGACTTTTAGCTACCAGAACTGAGAAAATAAATTTTTGTTTAAGTCACCTACCCTGGTACTTTGTTATGGCAGCACTAGCAAAGTAATACAGAGTGCTAGATACTTCAGAGCATATTAGCTCTATTCCCTTCAACAACTACAAAGTAAAATTTGAACATGAATATACTTGACTCCTTAACTTGTGCTTTAGGAAGAGTTATCCTATGAATCTGTATTAAAATTTTAAAAAACGGCTATCATCTAGCATAAGAACTATAAATTTTTGAGTTCGGTTTATTTGAGAGTTTATCTTTCTGGTTTTATTTAGCTATTCAGTTTTAATAATGTACAAGAACTTTGCTGATTTTTTTTTTACATTTAGTAAAAATATTGCATTAAATAGAAGTAAATAATAATATAATTAATATTTTATCTTCTTGCTGAATTATATGTATCCAGAGTGTTGGGTTTGAGTTTCTTACTCTCTTTGTCCTCTTCATGATAATAATAATGTGTCATAAGAGGTATTCATTATGTTGAACAAAAAGATACAAGATAATTACATTAAATTGCCTTATTTAACTCTTAAAATCCTAGGAGACATGTTATCCCTTTTTTGCATATGTGGGAATTTAGGCTCAGGGAAATGATGTAGGTTGCTGTAGATAATAGGTGGTGGACTGTTTTTTTTTAAATCATGTTTATTACAGTTGTCTCAATTTTTCCCCCTTTGTCCTCCTACACCCATTCCCCCCACTCCCCTGCGCCCACAGACAATTCCCACACTGTTGTCCATGTCCATGGGACATTCATACATGTTCTCTGTCTAGTCCCTTCCCATTCTTTCCACCATTGTCCTCTTTCCCCATCCCCCTTGGTCACTTTCAGCCCGCCCCATGCCTATGTTTCTGTGCCTATGATTTATTTTGTTTGTTAGTTTATTTTGTTGAATAAATTCCACTTATAGGTGAGATCATATGGTGTTTGTCTTTCACCAACTGGCTTATTTCACTTAGCATAGTATTCTCCAGTTCCATCCATGTTGTTGCAAAAGGCAGGAGTTACTTCTTTCTTTCTTTTTCTTTAAATGCAGATTTTTAAAACTTATTTTTGTAAATGTCAAGATCTATTATATTTAAAAATTTAAATCCATTATAAAGTCTCAGCAATTAAAACAACATGACACCAGCACAGAAATAATCAAGTAGATCAATGAAATAAAATGAGCATTCTAAAAACAAACATACATATCTGTCTAAAAATGGAATATATGATTAAATTGATATTTCGTATCAATGAGAAAATAAGGCTTATTCAACAAATAAGGTGCATGGACCAATATTCCCTGAAATAAAACAAATATAGAGTCTTATTTTACACATTATACAAAAAGTATTCAGGTGAGTTAAAAATCAATATGTAAAATCTAAGGAGATTTAGGAGAAAATACCAAATAATATTTTTCTTACCCTGAAGTAAAATCTGTAAATCCAGAAGCTATAAAGTAAAATATTGACAATATGACTATATTAAACATTTAAGACTATACAGTAATATACATATTAAAAAAGTTAAGGGACAAGTAATAGAATAGGAAAGTATTTGCAACACATCTAAAAAGAGGGTTAATAGGTTATTTTAGGAAAAAAATTCTACAAACATTTAATCGAAAAATGGATAATACCCAAAAGTCATTAAAAGCTTTTTAAAAATAATAGAAATAGGCAAGAAATATATAAAAAACAGGTTTAGTTTCAACAATATAAAATACCAATTAAAATAACATCGTCACAATCAGATAAGTATAAAATCTTGGTAATATCAAGTATTGGTGACTGTGAAAGGAACTGGGTATTCATAGACTCTTTTTCTTCATCTTAAAGCAGTCCTTTTAGCATATCTTGCACCGCTGGTTTGGTGGATGTGTATTCTTTTAGCCTTCTTTTGTCTGGGAAACTCCTTATTTTGCCTTCCATTTTAACTTAGAGCCTTGCTGGGTAGAGCAGTCTTGGTTACAGGCCTTTGCTTTTCATTACTTGGAATATTTCCTGCCTTTCCCATCTGGATTGTAGTGTCTCTGTTGAGATGTCAGCTGCTAGCCATACCAGAGCTCCCTTATATGTTACTACCTGTTTCTCCCTTGATGCCTTTAGGATTCTGTGTTTGTCTTTGATATTTGCCATTTTAATGATGATGTGTCTTGGAGTGGGCCTCATTGGTTTCCTCTTGAATGGGACCCTGTGTGCTTCCTGGACTTGTGTGACTATTTCTCTCCTCCAACTGGGGAAGTTTTCCATCATTACTTTTTCGAACAGGTTCTCTATTCCTTGCTCCTCTTCTTCTGGTATCCCTATTATGCAGATATTACTACATTTCAGGTTGTCCTGTATTTCTCTCAATGCCTCTTCATTATTTTTGAGACTTTTTTCATTTGCTTGCTCTTTCTGGGAGCTTTTTCTACCTTATCCTCCAGCTCGCTGATTCAATCCTCCGCTTCATCTTGCCTGTTTCCAATTTCTCTTACTATGTTCTTCAATTCAGAAGTTGTATTCTTCATTTCCTCTTGTCTATTGTTGATAGTTCTTATGTTGTTTTTCCTGCTGATGTAGTTTGCAGTAAGTTCCTCATAGTTTCCTTGTAGTTCTTTTTAATTCTCTCTGAGCTCACTGAGCTCATTCAGCTTCCTTAGAACTGTTGTTTTGAACTCAATATCTGATAGTTACTTGCCTCTATTTCATTTAGTTCTCTTTGTGGGGATTCCTTCTTTCCCTTTGACTGGTGGTGTTTGTCTTCCCATTATTTGTGAGACTCTTTTTTGCTTCTGTTTCTTAAATTGATGTCTTGATTTCCTGACCTTGTGGTTTGAACTTCAATGGTAGGAGACCACTGTTTTTTTTCTTTCTGGATCTGCCTCTGATGATGTCAGATATTGACCCTATCTGACCTTAGGTAGTCCGTTTGGGACTTTCAGGAATCTACTGTCTGTGGCTATCTCTTTCAGTTGTTAATCTAGTCACTCTGCACGCAGCAGTAAGGCTTAGACACTACAGGACGGGGCAGAATCCCTCCTGGGGGCGGGGTTATTGGGTCTTCTCACACTGATGCCACTCAGGGGAGTGGTCTGCCTGAGCCAGATGTCTGCTGCTGTACGGGGGAGGAGTCAGCACTGGGATCCCGCCAGCTACTCTGAGTTCTTTCCCCAAAACCTCCTTCCCCAGTCTCCCCTCAGGTGTTTCTAGCCCACTCTGCCCCCGCCTTTGCCGGAAACCAGAGTAAGTGGCTGCAAATAAGAATTTATGCTTTGGCCCTTTAAAATGCTCTTTGCGCCTCCAGCCACCTGCCTCTGGCAGAGAGCAAACCTGCTGCTTTTCACAGCTGGCTGTTACCTGTGTACTTTTTCGGCTCTGGTGCTGTAGGCTGTAGATCCCTGCTTATGGTTTAGACCCCACTCTTCTCATGCAGATCCAACTGGCCATTTTTATATCCTTATGGTACGGCTGCCCAAGGGCACTCTGCCCGCCTTCTTGAGTCTCTATTGCACTCCTTACCAGTTAGGTTGTGCTAAAGCTGATTCTTCTGTCTGTTCGAGGATATAAGGCTCCTCTCTGGCTATTGTTCAGTTGTTTGTTCTAGGTGATTTCTCCACAATTTAGTTGTAATTCCACATTGGTCCTGGGAGGAGGTCAGTGTGACTTTCATTCTCTCTTCTGCCATCTTGATTTTCCCTGGACTGTGAATTGTATATGGTCTAGGTGGGAATGACTCCAAAACATTTACCTTTTTCAATTTTAACCTGTTAAACCACACTTCAGTTTTTCACTTTCTACTTATATTTGGAAATAATATTATTTACTCTCATCATAAATTGGGGGAATTATGTAACATATCATTTGTCAGGACTCTGGCTTCCACCTTGTTTTTTTTTTAGTGTTCTGTCTTGAAGACAGCACAAGTATTGGAACTTTCCTCTTCCACACTAACAAATTAAGAGTTCCTTCATTTGTTGACTGCCATTTCGCAAGTCAAAGGACAGCTGGCTGTCTGCTTTGAAGACAGACCTAAGTTTTTTTCTACCTTTTCATTTCAAACCAGTGTAACATTTCAACCAATATCCCCTACTATACGTAAAATAAAT